TTATGGCGGGAAGGACCTGGCACTGCGCAGAAGGCGGGAGGTGCCCTAGTGAAAGGGACCTCAATGGGAAGCAGGCTGAGGGTTATCCTGGGAGAGAGAAGGCTTTGGAGATGTTAACTTTGGGGGTTGACAGCAGCAGTAGAGGGGGGATGAAGGGGAGCATGGTGGGGAGTCTGGAAAGCGGATCTAGAGTTGTGAGTAAAAGCGGGTGATCCAGTTCGTTGAGCTCTCTTGCAGCGGGTGACCCTGTAAGCTGCATGTTTGGATCAGAGAGGCGCACAGCTAAAGGCATTAGAGAGATTGTAGTTGGAGAGAAATGGCCTAAATAAGAGTGTGAGAAGCTATGGTTCTCTGTGGTAAAAAGACTGGCTGTGGGGCTGATGCCCCATGGAAAGAGGGCAATGGTCATTGGAAATAGAGGTAGTGCTTTGGCATGGTGGTGGATTTGGGAAGCATGGTGTAAAGGAAAATTCTGTGTTTTTTGGTGTGGGAGGGGACAAATTTGATGATGAAAAGTGATGGTACTTTTGGTAATTTAGATCTATGCTGACCCTGGCAAAAGACTGGAGTTGTACTTCCGTCCCAAGGATCCCTACTGCCATCCTGTGTGTGCCAACCGCTTCCCTACTTCATCCATGCTCTTTAAGGTAAAGCGGAAGATCAGAAGGAAACGGTTGGAAGCTGAAGGAGAAACCCAAGAGGAAATCAAGTTTGAAATGGAAGTTCTTGGGGTTGTCTCCACTGTTTACAAATTTCAAGGTAGTAATTTGATCTGCCTGTGTGAGGAATAGGGACTAGCTTTTTGGGTGGGAAAAGTGAACCTGTATGTAGGGAATTTTATGTGAGATGGACATGATACAATCCTTCTTCTGTATTGTGACTTAATAATGCATTGTCTTCTCTGCTGTTGTGTTAGGTTATGCTGTAAAGAAACATGTTCTACAATGGATGTGTCTGTGCAGGAGGAGGGGCAAAAATAATCTTTTCATGGGCAGTAATGAATTGTTTTTAACATTTACTTGATTGTTTGGCAGGTGTTTAAGATAGGGAAATAGGATAGGGCATTGTTTTTAACATTTACTTGATTGCTTGGCAGGTGTTTAAGATAGGGAAATAGGATAGGGCTTTCAGAGTGTTTTTATGAATGCACGACAAGGGGACCATGGTGTTGCTTCACAGTGTGAATGAATACCGAGCCCATGTAACTCAGGGCAAGAGACAGTCTCATCCTTGAGTGGGTTTCTGAGGAAAGGACAACTGGGTATTATGCAGAATGCTATTGTCTCTGATACACACCTTTTTATCTTGACTTTTCCTTCCTCATAGGAATGTCTGATTTCCAGTACCTGGCAATGCATTCTGGCCCTGATAGCAAACAAATCTCTATGTACGACAAGGTCTTGCTCCTCAAACCAGAAAAGGAGGAATTCTTCAATAGGGAATTACCCCTCTACATCCCTCCACCTATTTTTTCGCGTCTGGATACCCCTATAGACTATTTCTATCGGCCAGATGTACAACACCGGTGAGTGCCTTTTCTTTTTATATTGTCTCTTGAATGAACCAATAATGGAAATCTTTTACTGGGCCAGCATATCACTTATAAAATCTGAATTTTCAAGTTCACTGGAGATCCCCTTCTTCATTACCTGAAGAAGGCTCTTGTATTATGACTAACATAGCTCAGTATTAAAGGATTTTTCAGAATGATCTCTAAGAAAAATTGATGCGGTTGGATGAACTTGGTGTCATATAGTTCATATCCAGCAGTGATCATGACGAAAACATAGGATGCTTTTCTTTTGTTTCTTTGCTACAGTCTGTCTGTATGATTGAAATGTGCGCACACACACACACACACATTTTTAATGTGGAATCTATGCTTTTTCGTTTTGTTTCTTTGGCTACGGTCTGTCTGTATGATTGAAATGCGCGCACACACACACACCAATTTTTAATGTGGAATCTATGCTTTTTCAGAGCAGCATTTTAAAATAGGGATGTAAAATTTCAATTAATTGGCTAATCAAATAGTTGATGCAAATAGTCAATTAATCAATAAGGGCGCCTCCACTTTTGAAGTGTAGCAACAGCTCCAGGGCTGTTGCTACACTTCAAAGGCAAAAGCGCTACGGGGAGCACAGGGCCAGCGAGGGACTCAAGTAGTCCCCTGCTGGTCCCGTGCTCTCTGTGGCATTTCAAAGTGACAGCGCTACATGGCAGCCAGGGTCAGCGGGGGAGTCAAATACCATACTAAGGCAAACTGCTGTAACCAATCCATGCCTTTGTTATATGTCTCTTTCTGTGTTAGCTTTGTTTGTTTCAATACAATACAATCTGGACAAAAATACTTATAAGGTGGCATGGGTTATGAAAGTCTGAGAGTCAAGAGCTCTGTCACTAGCAAGCTTCTGGTCTTGGGCAAGTCACTTCTTTGTTTCTTATTCTTTTTCTGAAATAACTGGAATACGGGTTATGAAAGTCTGAGAGTCAGTCAAGAGCTCTGTCACTAGCAAGCTTCTGGTCTTGGGCAAGTCACTTCTTTGTTTCTTATTCTTTTTCTGAAATAACTGGAATAATAGTTGCAGACACTTACACACAATAGGTCTTACAAGAGTGGAGATAAGGGGTTGCTTAGTTGGGTCTTGTGGCCTTTTAAGTTGTTTCTGGGTTGAGTTTAGTGGACTTCCCTTGATTTTGGGGGGAAAAAATTGCCCTTGTGGGGAATGGCGGAGGAAAAAAATGAGTCAAAAGTATATGGCGGGGAAGTAATCCTTTTGATTTTTGGGGAAAAAAAATTGCCCTTGTGGGGAATGCGGGAGGAAAAAATGAGTCAAAAGTATATGGCGGGGAAGTATTCCTGCACAAACCTACTGGGGATTGAACAAAGGGGCCCTATGGAGAAACCTTGCAATGTGGAAGAGAAAGCCATTGATGGGATCATGTTTTGGGAGCTACAGCCTGGTAGGATAGCCTACGTTTTCACCTCATGTTGCATTCAGCTAGTCTCAAAACATACATCAAAAATAGTCTGCAGTATCCCAAAGAACTGTGTGTAAATACGGTTCTTACTGGAAATGTGTGAATATGATTTCAAATCTCTTTGTGCCAGAGGACTTCCAGCTTGTAGAAATTCAAGGATTTGTGAAAAAGGAATGATCGCCTCATAGTCAAGGTTGTGGATTAAGACTCCAGAGACCTGGGTTCATTTCTCAGCGTGGCACAGACAACCTATGAGATCTGGGCAAATCACTTGTCTGTGTCTTCAGTTCCTAATAGCATTTCCCTACCTCATAGATGAGTGTGAGGAACTCTGCTACACTGAAGAATGCCAGATGGGCACTTCATATAGGTTTTCCCTTCAGAGCCATAAAGATTTGTGATGTCACCCTGTGTTTCCCTTTTCCATGCCTTGTATTCTCTTCCCTAAAAGCCTTTTGTCCACTTTAAACCCAAACTAAGTCTACAACAAAATACATCGTTTAAATTTTGTTTTAAGTTTCCATTCTTCTGCCACTGCTGAGATGCAGTTGGAGACTATTTGGCAGCTACTTTCTGTTTCCCTCTGTAAAAATCTTGGCAGATGACCTGAGAAACCCCATTTGACTAGCTACATGAAAGCTTAAGCATAAGAACGAAGGGTTACCAAATTAAATTAATAGGTAGCAGATTTAAAACAAACAGAAGGAAGTTTTTCTTTACACAGCGCACAAACAACCTGTGGAACTCCTTGCCAGAGGATATTGTGAAGACCAGGACTTTAACAGCATTTTAAAAAAAGAGCTACATAAATTCATGGAGGTTAGGTCCATCAACGGCTATTGGCCAGGATGGGTAGGAATGGTGTCCCTAGCTTCAGTTTGTCAGAGGTTGGAAATGAATGAGAGAAGAGGGATCACATGATGATTATCTGTTCCGTTCATTCCCTCAGGGGCATCTGGCACTGGCCACTGTTAGGAAGACAGGATACTGGGCTAGATGGATCTTTGGTTCTACCTATTATGGCCATTCTTATGTTCTTATGTTTCATTTAATCAAGCACCATTGGAGGGTCTCCCCTGTGAAGCTTTGGTTTGAAGTTCTGTTGCATCTAAACATAAGAGGCAAAATTCCCACTTCCCCCACACCTAGGCATGGGAGTTGGACACTATGTGATAATTATAAAACTAGGCCTTTTGACAGGGTTCCATGTATTTGTAGTGGCTTGGAGGTTGGAGAGTGCAAATATACATGCCATGTGTTGCCAAGCTGGCATTCACCAGAACAAATTAACAGAAGCAAACTGTTTGTTTTGCCATTTAAAAAAAAAAGGAAATCTGTGATGTCTCCCACGAGAAACATCTTTATTTTTCTCACTGTTGTCCTTCATTTGAGCAAAAAAGTGCAAATAATATAATATGACTCCAAGATTTAATTTTTAACTTCTTCCTTGCCTCAATTCCTTGTATGTCCCTGTACACTCGGTGACTGTAGCAAAGGGAACTTAGAATAGGTACCTATGAAAGCTAAGCCTGCCTTTGGAGGCTTCTGCCTTACCAGTTAGTCAATCAGGATTTTCAATCCTCAAACTATGGGGTGCACCTCCCTAGGGGAGCAAGGAGAAATGTTTGAGGGGTGCAGTGGGCCTGTGTCAGGCCCCATGGGGGTGGGGGAGAGTGCTAACCAGCCCCCATCCCATCCCCAACTCTGCTCTGGTCCTGTTCCCAGCTCTTGGCCCCACCTCTGGCCTCTCCCCCAGCCTCCATGTCACGGACCCTGCTGCAGCTCCATTCCCACCCCCAGCCTTATCTGCTGGTTGTAGCTCTGTTCCTGGCCCCAGCCTCTGCCCCCTTACCCTGTTTGCCCCACACCTCACCCCCTGGACTGCGGCCTGCTTCTGGCTTCAGGGAGAAGGTGGGAGAGAGTAGACGGGTAAGGAGAACATGACTCTTAGAAGTTTGGGGACTACTGGTATGAAGTTTGTTTTAGGGAAAAATCAGTACATGGAAGCTTTGTTCAGAGTATTGGACGTGGGTCACAATTTCCTCATTGGAAAAGTGATTCTCCAACTTTTTCACTCAGGACTGCTCCATAAGTGAGTCTTTAATGGTGACTTTATCTAGCCTACCTAAATTCTTGTTTACTTGGGACCCAAATATCTTCTTACCCTAAATCTTGAGAGGCAGACGGCTAGTTCAGAAATCCTCTGTTCTATCTAATTTAATTCCCCACCACCACATTTCCTGAGACTGGAAAATAATCTGAATTTCTACATGTTTCAGTAGAGGCCACTAAGTGTAAAAGATGAGGAGGAAGAAAGTATGACTGACACTTTGCACTGCTTCTTAGGGAAGGCTACAGCAATCCCCAGGTGTCTTGTGAGAACCTGATTGGCCTCAGCAGGGCCCGTCGACCACACAATGCCATCTTTGTGAACTTCGATGATGAGGACGTCCCAACCAAGCCGCTAGAGCCTGCAGTGCAGACTTGGAAGAAAATGTGCACCAATCCTGTGGATAAAAAAGTGGAGGAAGAGCTGAGAAAGGTACAGGCTAGGGATGTTGATGAGTAGTCGTCTACCCGATTAACCGATAATCTTGTCGACTACATGCATTTCCCCCCTACACACAAGGAGGGGGGAGAAGAAGCTGGTGCACCTGGGGAGCCAGCATAAAAGCTGGTTCCTCCCAGCACTGGCTCCATGGTACTGCTGTCCTCCTTCCCCTCCCCCCGTGCTGCTGCCTCTGCTGGTTTTTAAATTGGCTCTCCTCATGGACTGGCTTCCGCCTACAGAGGCAGCAGTACAGGATGACAAGGGGTTCCCTAGGAGTGGGGCTGGCATTCACTGGAATAGTCGAGTAACCGATAGAAATGTATGCGGTTACTCGACTCTTCAATTAATCGATATCTAACATCCCTAGTATAGGCCAAATCTTGGTGGAGGGGTGTAACGACGCAGTCGGGGTTCCCCAGTTCCTGCATCCCTGTAGCAGCAAGAACAGATTCCGCCAGCAGTAGAGTAGAGGGGTTTTATTGCTTCTCCAGGATACAGCACAGCATAGACGTGGTGTGATTACAGGATTCGGGGCCAGGATGTTTCATACCCCTTGGGTTAGGGGTCTGTCACCCCTAGCCCCAGCCCCAACAACCTCAGTCTGTCTCCCTCATGGTTCCAGCCCAAGACTGACCCTTCCCTCAGCACACACTTCCTTTGGCCCGTCTCTTCCCTTAACAAGTGGAAACAGTTTGGCCACTGTCCTGAGGCCCCTTTTGCTGGGCCGTGCTTACAGACAACCAACTGCCAGTGTGGGTCCTCCACAGCCCACTGCCCAAGCATAGGAACCAGCAAGGTACTGACACTACATCACAACATGTGGCGAGTCAGTGGGAATCACAAATCACTACATGGGGGGGGCCCCGGGATACAGAGCAGACAGCACCCCCACTACGCCACAAGGGGACAGGGCCAAAAGCAACTACAGTGCACAGTGTGGGGGAGAAACTTCTTACGCTGCCTTAGTAACTTCTTTTGCTCTCTGGAAAACTGTTATTTACAAGGATTATTTTATATATTTATAGTTCACATTATTTACAGGCTTCCACAAAGATTCTAAAGACTGATCGAGGTGCCGTATTATAAATGAATGAAACAGCTGATAATTAGAGCGGGAAACTGAAAGCCAGGACTCATAGCTTTCTATTTCTTTCTGTTTCTGCCTTATTTGCGGTATAATTTTGTCTGTGTTTTATCCCCCTCTGTTTCTTGATTTGTAAAATGGGAAGGATAACACAGACGTACGTGGGTGTAATATTGAATGTTTGCCAAGTTCTTTGAAATCTTGAAGTGTATGATGCTGTAGAAATATGGGAACCTCCCTGGACACACATAATTCTCTTTGCCAAGAGTTCTAGGGTTCTTCATGGTTTTATGAAAATTCGGTTGGAGGCAAAAGTAAATACACAGAAGGATAGGGCATGGCTTTTGCCATCCAGGAGAAACTATAGTTATCCTAAATTACTTGAAAACTGAGCTGCCTACTGATGCATCTGTTATCACCTTCCACTGCCCTGTGTATTTTAAACTTTGAGAATTGAGTGTTCATAGTGTGAGATTTATGGGCTAAACGTTTGTCCAGGAGCAACTCCGTTGAAGGCAGTGGATGCCATGTGTCTCAAACCCCACTTGTAGTATCCTTTTAATGCGGGCGTATATTGTGAAAAAATATCTTGCAGTTTGTCTGAGCCTGACAGCTATTCTCTAGCAGAGCCCATCTATTTTACTGAATTTCTGGTGTGGTTTTTCTTGATGAGACAATTCACAGGAGGCGGGGGGAAGGGGGGGCAAACTGTGGCCCACAGGCCAATCAGGGGAGTGGGGACAGGACAGCCTTGCCAGGCGGGAGCCAGCCCAATGCCCAGGCTGCGTGGCATGTAGGGATATTGAGCTCCAGCCCCTCCCTCCTCAGCAGCCTCCGCTCCCCCAGCGCATTGGTGGCACAGTTGTCGCGCCACTGGCCCCGATGCTCTTGCCAATGCAGTCAGGAGGCGGGGAATGGGTCCTGAGGTGATGGGCAAGGGGTGAGAGGTGGGGAGATTAGATTGGGGGTTGAAGGTTCTGGGGAGGATGGTCAGAGCGCAGGGAGCTGGGGTTGGGGTTGGATAGGAGGCATAGGGTCCTGGCGGGTGGTCAGGGAGCTGGGAGCTGAGTTGGATAGTGGCTGAAGGGTGGGGGGGTGGCCAGAAGATGGGAAGCAGGGTGGGTTGGATAGGAGGGGGGAGTAGTTAGAGGCTGAGGAGCAGAGGGGAGGGTTGATAGGAGGCCAGGGGTCCCAAGGAAGTGGGGGGGTTGGATAGGAGGCAGGGCTCTGGCCACACCTGGCTGGAGAGGCACTGCCTCCCCCAGCCTTCCATATAATTTCTATACCCCTGCCCTAGGGACTAAGGTGAGGCCACCGTTCATTTCATATGCTACCCAAGTCAGAATTTGAGCCTGTCTCTTCAGATATGAAAGGCGAGCTTGCTCCCTCACCGTGCCAACATCCCTTAAATAAGGCTTATTTGTACTTTTCTCTCAATTGCTATCCTGCAGCACTGTACAAATGTTGCTGACAGCCTTTAGTCTGGGCCAGAGGCTATAATAAAAAGTAGGTTCCCATTAGGAAATTGAAAGTGGCATTACTAACCCTTATTCTAAGCTGCTGCAAGACTTTTTGTTGTTTTTTAAGTTTCTCCACTTTGTATATTTCTTTAGCTGTTTGAGATTCGTCCCATCTGGTCTCGGAATGCTGTGAAGGCCAATATCAGTGTCCATCCGGACAAGCTTAAACTTCTCTTACCGTACTTGGCCTATTATATGGTGAGTTTCTTTATAGATCTGCTGTGCAGTTTATTCTTATCTGAATCAGGCTTGGAGGCAAAGGGATGGGATGGCCAGCTGGATGTCTATGGATAAATCCTAGTCAGCTACAGTTCAGATTTTGTCTGTACCCAAAGCTTTGAGTTAAATATCCTGAAGTAGGGGGTTTGATTCTTTTTGGGAGGGAGGATGAAAACCTTGCTTCCAAATGGAACCCACACATGGTTGCCAGTTAAAGCAGTGAGTGATACAGTGGCTTTGTGCTTCTTTTGGTGCTGGTCTGCCTTGAAGTTATTGTAACAAATGGTCCAATCGACTGTCCATCTAGTAATGCTTGCAGGAGCCCTCCACAAAAAATCTGCTGTGAGCTTAGGGCTGCTTTTCTGAAATGACAGATATTTGCAGCATGTCGCCTTTCTTTGCCCAAGGTTAGGTGTTAAATGTGTGTGTTGAAAGGGGAGGAAGAAGGAGGGAGAATCTATAAAATAAATAGTTAGGGGAAACATTGTAGTACTCATTAATATTCTGAATCTCTGTTCTGTCTCCGGTAACCACTCATCCTCTGTGTAGCTCACCGGTCCTTGGCGAAGTCTGTGGGTTCGGTTTGGGTATGACCCTAGGAAACATCCCGAAGCAAAGATTTATCAAGTCCTGGACTTCAGAATTCGCTGTGGAATTAAATACGGTAAAATGGCCCAAACACGACAGACTCCCTGTGCCTCCCAGTCAGTCTGTCTCTGCAGCTCTTCTGCTTATCGGGTAGTTGACTAGTCCTTAACATCCTTATTTCAGATGCTACCTAAGTAAGGGTCTGTTTCTTTGTTATTTCTTCCACTTTCAGAAGGGAGAAATTAGGTGACTGTTACAAGGATGCCTTGTCCATTGGGCCAACTAATGCTAGAGAAAAAGTTTCCTTAAAAACAAAACCAAACAATCTTCCTTCCTCCCCCAAAGCAACAAAAGATTTAGTGCCATCAGCTGGAAAAGCACATGAGTCTTGTGCAGAATGGAGGAATGTGTGTTGTGAATTCAAGAATGTGTCTGGCTGTTATCTGTCCTTATTCCCCCTTAAAAAAAGGTCCCTCTGTGCCCAGTCAGATGCTACAGACAACACATTTAAGATTTTTTTAGCTAATGCTATTGCACAAGTTTTTGGTTTATGCCATTGTAACATATTGGGGAGGAGGTATTTTTACTAATTTGCTTGGCTTATTTAAGTTGAATGTGGTGCTCCACACCAAAAGCTGTGAATGACACACTTCCACCCTGACCTGATTAGTTTAATTAACACAAAAAACTTCTTCCCCTGCTTCTGTAACTTCCACTCCAATTCATCTGATGAAGTGAGTTTTATCCACAACAGCTTATGCTCTAATAAATCTTTAGTCGCTGAAGTGCCACAGGACTCCATGTTGTTTTTGTACAGAACACTTCATTATATTGCGTTTTGGAACTTTAGTTCCATTCATTGCTTGCCATAGTTTTAGAAGTGGGATGTAAATGTAAGTCTCTCTTCGTATGTGTGTTTCGATACAATAATGATAGCACCTATCCTCCAGGGATCTGAGAGCTCTTCACAAACTACTAAATCCCCCTGCATTGTGCAAAGGGTGAAATTGATGTCAAATGACTATGTCGTAAGACCGTGACAAGGCACATCTTCCCACCTTGTTATGTTAAACAACTTAATTTCCTTGATCTTTCTCTTCCCTGTTCCACCAAAATCAACACAGTGTTTGGCCCTTCTTTCAAGCCTCTGTCCAACACCCCCTGTTGTAAAAGATGTAATATTCTATGGGATGCTGGTCTCTGTTCAAAGTCTGTTTTCTTTCTTGGCCTCCAGGTTATGCCTCTACTGACATGCCCGTGAAAGCAAAACGCAGCACGTACAATTACAGTCTGCCCATCACTATCAAAAAAGCAGGTATGCAGAACAGGTGAAGGGTTGAGAAAGCTGTACAGCTTAACCTGGCCTCTTTCATTTCGTCCTTTTGTTGCTGTTAGTGGGTGAATAGATTATAATGCAACTTAATTCAGTTGATTATTGGGGTTTCCTCTTGCTGTCTCCGATCGCGATGTGTGTGTCCAATTAAAACCTGTGGACATGTTGCCCATTGAGTATATCTTAAGTGATGTCTGACTGATGGACAGTAGTTGGTAGATCAGAAGTCAGAAGTCTAGTTGAATGAGGCCGTATCAGAAACACTTCCCAGAAATGGCCTGTCTGCCAATACAGCTGCCCAAAACAAGGTAGATGGAATGAAGAATGAACCTTTACACTGACATTTGTATGCTGACTATTTTTCTGGTGCCAACAAAGTTGAATTGAATCAGAAAAGCAGCTAAAATCCTGTCCTATGTTGTGAAGTGCAAAGTAGCCCGCAGTTCAGAAATCTTCTTCCTTTATGTCTTTCAGTAAGTCACACAGTCAGTGTGCAGGACCTAAAGCAGGGGCTGGACACATCCAGTACATCCAGTGCAAAAAAACCTGCCTCCAGCAAATACAAACTTAAAGTAGGTATTACTCTGTCCTCCCAAGAGCGTGCAATGGTATCATAGGTAGGGTAACTGTTGTCTTTTGTCACTCTTTTGGAGGCAACATTGATCTAGATGGACTGTGGCTATTGATATAGATACAGATTTTATTTGGAGTAGCAAGTGACTAGCTAAGAAAAGCACTGTGTAAGCCTGAAAGCTTGTCTTTCTCCCCAAGAGAAGTTGGTCCAGTAAAAGATATTGCCTCTCCTGCCATGTCTAGCTATCCTTATGGTAGACTGGGTTTACCTGGAAAGTGAGTAATCATCCATACCACTGCAAAGTTTGCTGATATTGTGAATTTCTTTTCTAAGTCTGGAAGATCATGCATGCAGCCCTTGCCTTGAGTGTGATTTACATTGCATTTCAGGGAGCAGATTGTGGAATGCAAAGCCGTAAGGCCATTATGGTGTATTTTCAGATTGGTCTGAAGACTCCAGTAAGGCAAAGGAAATGAGGAAACATGGATAAGTCTATATTTCACCATGCTCCATTTTCCTGTAAGGGCAATTGCCCTCCCTTCCACACACACTGCTTTGAAATAAATTGTGGGTGGTCGGGTAACTGTTCAATGGCTGTGAATGGTTTTCTCCACAGATATTTGCTGTGTGTGTTCTGGTTGCTGTGGCCAGGAGATTGCAGTGCAATTCTGTTACATCCAGACTCTGGCTTTGTGCACTCCTGTAGGATGTAAAAGGTTAACTAGATACCCAGTAAGCATTAGACTGACCAGAATGCTTATTTGGTAACTGGTTAATTGGACTGCCAGCCGCATAGAGTCAGCTGGCGGGAATCAGGTCAGGGCGGCAGGTGGGATCCCAACCGTGGCCATGCTGCAGCAGCCCCAGCAGGGACAGGCAGGATCCAGCCCTAGCCGCATTGCAGTGGCTCCAGACCCCAGTGGCCCCAGACTCAGCATCCACACTGAGGCAGCCGTGGCCTGGATCCCAACCCACAGCCCCAGTAAGACTCCCCTGGTTGCCCTCCCCCCACCAGTGGTTAACAGGTAAAACAATATAATTTTAATAGGTTAGCTGGTTTACTGTTTTGATCAGTATTTACATTCTTACTCTCCTGCACCAGGCTCACATGCTCTCTCTCACTCTTCCTGCCTTGGAACTGAACTCATGCAGAGGAAATTCTGGCTCCTGAAAAAGTTCTTATGGAAGGAGCTCTAATCTGTGGTCATGCGATATTGTTGCCCATGTCTTGGGTGTGGAAATGATTTGAAATGCCCATTGAATCTCTTTCTTTCCCTCCTCCTAGGACTCTATCTATATCTTCCATGAAGGAGATCTGCCTCCGTATCGACAGATGTTCTATCAGCTCTGTGACTTGAACGTGGACAGGTACTGCACCTGATTTGCTGAATCTTTTGACCAAGGGTGATTTTGCAGATGGTTAATCGCAAACTCCACCATTTGAGCCCTACCGCCGTCTTTCTCCTCGACCCTGATATTTAGGCAATTTCCTGTTTCTCAATGGACAGACTTTATTTGGTAGTATGAGCTACCAAAATATACTTTCTTAGGTGTTTTGTCCCTGATCCCAGTTCACTGAAATCAATTGGAAAATTATTGACTACAACAGGAGTAAGTTACTCCCATTGATGAAATATTTAACCTGCAGAAGGAAAAACAAATTTACATAATTCTAGGGAAATCTATTGCTACTTTAGTTTGGATTTTCATGTACACTTACACCCATATAGGTTTACAAATATACACTACAGATGCTTAATGTAACAATAAGTAGCCATCACATTTAGAAAAGCATTTCATTTACAGTAGGGCTGTCAAGCGATTAAAAAATTTAATTGCGATTAATTGCACACATCTCCCCTTTGAAATGATGCCGCAGTATTTCAACGGGGCAGTGCTGCATACAGCCTGCGATCGGCTAGAGTCCCCAGCTGACCCTGGGTTCCACTGCCGCATGAAGCCCAAGATCAGCTGGGGAGTCCCCAGCTGACCCTGGGCTCCAGGGCTGCCCATTTGAAACACGCGTGGAGACGGCGCGTTTTAAAGGGGCAGCGGCAGGTGATTCCTGGCTCAGCTGTGAGGCAGTTGCTCCTTTGAAATACCGCCTCTGCACGTTTCAAAGGGGCAGTGGAGCCCGAAGTCAGCTGGGGACTCCCCAGCTGATCCCAGACTCCGCGTTGCGCTGCTCCTCTGAAGCACCACAGTGGCACTTCAAAGGGGAAACGCAGCATTAACACCTGCAATTAACACGTTAAAAAATCATAGGCATTGACGCATGACAATTGACAGCCCTAATTTACAGTCTTATCATTCTCCTCTGCATTCATAAACTGCTTATAATGTTACAGAGAGATAGGCTGGAGATAGCTGAGGTTCTATAGGCATGTAGAACAAAGCACAGCCAGAGAAATCTACTGGAGAGAAAAAGGTCTAATGATTGAAGCACAGGCTTGGGACTCTTACTGGTTCTGCAACAAATTCATACCTTCAGGGCGTCCCTTATCCTGCCTTCCCACTGAGAGAGCCAGTTCCATCCCTGAGGAAACTGGTGCTGGCTGTGGGGACACTCCTGGGGTGGACATGACTCGACCCCATGTCTCCAGGCCAATGCCCTATCCCCTAGGCCACTCCGGTATCCACCCCACCTGCCTACTTTCAGGGTGTCCCTTATCCTGCCTTCCTAATGGGGCAATTGGTGCTGGCTGTGGGGACACGCCAAGCCCCAGGTGGGTGGGGCTTGAACCCACAACCCCAGCACCCCTAGGCCACTCCAGAACCTACTCCACCTCCCTATCTTCAGCGTGAGTGACTTAATCCGTTTTTGCCTCAGTCTTTCTTTCTGACCATTGAGATTAACTCTCTTACCTTACAAGCGGCTGGCAAGTAGAGCGGAGTGAAATTTGGTATTTTTGCCATGTGGGCAATTCCAATATGTAGCTTGTATTTTCATCTCACTCTAGGACAAAATGTTGAACAATTTAAATTTTTCACAGAACAAAATATTCTGAAAAATGTTGGGGTTTTTTAATGTCTAAATCCTTAAAACAATCAAAACAAAGTTGGAAACGAAATGTTTTGGGTCATTTGAACAAAATGAAATATCCCGATTTGGATTGAACCAACCTGAAATGAAATATTTGATTTTGTTTTCACAATGAAAAACTTGAGCAAAATTTAATTTTTCCACTGAAAAATGTCAGTTTTCTAGAAACTGCCTTTTCTCTTGGAAGAGTCGCAATAAGCTGTATGAATGAGGTCTTGTGCTTGTAACATGCCAACGAGATCCTTGAAGGGAAGTACTACAAACTTCATTACTTAATTTGTTGCCGCCCTGAATGGTTTTTCTGGTTGCAGGCCTTCCAGTGACTGAAAACTCCTGCTAGGGCCACCTAGGTCATAGGGCAGGGATCAGATGAAGCGTAGTCCTCTTACCCTCCAGGTGGGGGTGAAGTAATAAGCCACCAATGTAGCATTGTAAGAAGTCGAGTTATAGAAACAACAATGTGGCCACTGAGGCAAGCAGCACAATTAATTGTTCTTGTCCTACGTGACGTTTGATGGCATAGGAAAGATTCAAATCTGATTGCAGGAGGCTGATTCTTTTCTTACCCACTCTTTAGCTTACAGAAAATCATCCATCGGAATGACGGCATGGAGACAGAATGCACAGAACGGGATGGGTGGTGTCTTCAAAAGACCAACGATGATTTGAGGGATACCATGTCTCTGATGATTAAGCAGATCATCAGGTCCACGCGACCCGGTAAGGATGGTTCTGGAATTTGAGCAGCGGAGGGTATGTTAGAAAAAAACATTTCCAGACCCGATGGGGCATGTTTTTGGGGCCTCTTCTCTTGTGCCAGGTGACTTGGTCTGGCTGGTTAGATGTAGGTGCTGCTAGGCCCCATGGTTCTTCAGATGAAATGTTAAAATAGAATCATAGACTGAAAAGGACCTCGAGAGCTCATCTGGTCCCATCCCCTGCACTCATGGCAGGAATGAGCACCATCTAGACCAGGGGTCTCAATCTCCCAGCCTGCAGGCCAGTCCCAGCTGGAGCAATTGTGAAGTCCAGTCTGGTATTCCCAGTGGGCCTGGGGGAGGGAGGCAGGTTCCATTCCTCCCCCCCCCAATCTCTGTCCCCTC